AAATCAACTCTTATTTATAGGGGATGGAAGAGAGCAATCTTGTCTTTATTAGAAAAAAAATTCTGACCCTTGATTCAACTAGAAAAGATCTCAATATTTGATTCAAAAATGATTTAGAAAAAAATCCTAACCCTTGATTCAGCTAGAAAAGATCTCAATATTTGATTCAAAATAGGCACCATAAACTATCAAATTTGATAGTTAAAGACTTATTAGTTCACCTTTTTAAGCAGGCGTCGCAACCTTTATGTTGTTAATCAGCTTGAACGGACCATACTAGGTTGTAGAGAAATGTTAAATAATCATTTTGTTTAAGGTGTAGTCATATTTAGTAGAGATATGAAGCATTAAATGCCCCTGAAAAGTAGTCACATAGACAATGTTTTCGAGCAAAAAAAGAAGACAATGATGTTGTTTTAACCTTACATTAGGGATTTTTGGTCAAAGTTTAAATTGGTCATTTGACTTTTGATTTTCTTTAATTTTACCCCTAGTTTACTTCAAACTTCTGATTTAATATAATTTTACCTCTGTCGAATTTCAAAATCAGCCTCTAATTGTAACACATTTTTCAGTTTGATCCTTAGTCTTGGATTTATACAATTTAACCTTCGATTGACCATTAAACTTTTGATTTTCTTCAAATTTTTAATTTAATGCAATTTTGCCTCTATTGAATTTCAAAATCTACCTCTAATTGCAACGTATTTTTCAATTTAGTTCTTGATCTTGTATTTATATAATTTGACCCTCGATTGACCATTAAACTTTCAATTTTCTTCAATTTCACCCTTGATTTCAATTAATTGGGTCTTCATAGTTTGACACCTTTTGCAAATTCATCATTGGCTACGAATTCTTCAACGATTGACCATTAAACTTTCAATTTTCTTCAATTTCACCCTTGATTTCATAGTTTCATAGTTTGACGCCTTTTTCAAATTCATCATTGGCTACGAATTCTTCAATTTAACCCCTAATTAACCTTAAAACATTAATTTGCTTGTGATTTTGCCCTTGATTTCAATTAATTGACCTGAAAAAAAATTAAATTTAATCTTTTAAAATTTTAATCTTTTCAATTAAGCTCAAATTAAAAAAAATTAAATTTGGTCTCTTAAAATTTTAATCTTCTCAATCAAGCTCAAATTGAGCTTTCAAACTTAATGTTTCACCAATTAAACCCCTACTAAAATTAATTTGACCATTTTTAAAGTATAATTAAGTCCTTACACTTAATTAAATCCTTTAATTGAACCCAAATAAATTCTTAAAACATAATTAAACTTTAACTTGGCTCGTGATTACATCAAATTGACCTATTAAAAATTTAATTATGTTCTTGGACTTAATTTTTATACGGATTCATCAAATAATCATTTAATTTGATCTTAAATCTACATTGTTTCTTCAGTTTTAGGTATAATGGGGTATAACTAGATTTTGAAATTCATCCAAAATTGCAGTTTGATTTTTTTATATGTTTGAAATCCTCCTCAACCTGTTTTTTTTTATATTGCTAGGTTTTATTTTATTTTTTTGACTAAAAAAAGAAGAAGTACATTTAGGAAATAACCTAGAAATGAGTTATGACACCAGGAATAAACTATAATCCAAAGTAACTAATCTCACTGCTCCAAATAGGGTGTTACTCCCTCAACTAGAGCACTTAGTTTAACATGCCCAAACCGGGTGTTAGTCCCTTAACTAGGGCATTTAGCTTAACATGCCTAAATTGGAAGTTAATCTCTAAACCATGGCACTTACCTAAATTGGGAGTTAATCCCTAAAGTAGAGCATCTAGCTTAACATATTATTTGATATCTCAAAATATAAATCAAATAGAATTTTAGTTACACACTTAAATTAAAATAATTAATTAATTGTTTTAAGGTGTCTAGCACCAACATGGAGCCTGCGCTCTGCTAACTGTCTCTTACTGTTGTACGGTATCTGCAATTTCACCCATACTAGCATATACATTGTATTAATTTCAATTTCATCTCCCTTAAACAAACCTAAAAGAACTAAAAAAATAAAAGACCATAACACAAAATCTAGCCAAAACTAGATAAGGGCAAAAAATGTCTAACTGTTTTGAGAAACAATCCGATCGTTTCTTAAATAGATCTAATTATCTCTCAAAACAACTAAACCATTTTTGGTTTCTGATAGTTTTTGACACGATCAAAATATTAATGTCTTCTTCCAAGCATAGAAGTGTTGAAGTAATAAATAACTCGGCAAGATTGGGGTGAAACCACAGGAAGGTTAACTGTATAAACTATAAATAAAGAATCCCCCCTCCTTTTGTTTCTATACTTGGTCAATTACTCATTTAATTTCTTCTCTATGTTTTATTTTTCAAAATGTCAGCTTTTACATCCATAATAATCTTTTTCATATGTACTAACACTTTTAACAACTAATTTAAAATGACCTTAAATTTCAAAATGAAGAACCCCAATTCACCATAATACAAAATTATTGTTATTGCAAGAGGAGAAATAGAAGGATTAAGAATGAGCGAAAGAGAGAGGAATAAAATACAACCCTGGTTGATTATTCCAGTTGCGTGTATGTGAGAGAGAGAGAGGGTAAAAGAGAGAATGTGTGGATGGGAGTGGGAGGCAGGTGGGGGGGTAATATCGAAACGTCCGGCTGAGTTGTGGCTTATCCATCACTTGAAACGTAAGGATATTCCCCCCTGACATAACGTCTTCCGTCCTCTTCCTTCGTTTTCACCGACTCACCCCCACTCTCTTGCCACTTAGAACCAGCAACTACAACTCGTCCTCTTAATTTTTTTTTTATTATTTGTTACAATTGAAAAAAACAAAAAAAAAAAAAGAAAAGGAAAGTGCTTCCTCCTGCGTTCAGATGTCATAAAATAGAGTGCTTTCTTTGCCCAACACTACCATGCATAGTTACTAGACTGGTCCGACAGGTGGTTGATTTTGAAAGACCTGGCTGGCTGAATTGCCAGGTGACCTAAGATAAACTTTTTTTCTAATAAAAAAAACCAGAAAATTAAACTACAAATAGCTAGTTGCATATTTTTTTTAACAAACAAAAATATTAATCTACAAACACCAAGCCTCGTATAATTTTTTAGAGCTGCAATAAAAAAATTTAGGCTGATATAAAACAATGATTTAAGTTTAAGAGTTAAAAACAAATTACTATAAAAGATAAAAATGTTTAGAAAGTATACATATTGACTCATGCATGAGGGACAATTGAAGATTTTTTTACTGCTCGGTGTAATTTTATACACCTAAGCTCTGTAGTTTTTGGTTGTTAATTATTAATTCATATCAAATTTTACTGTATAAAAATTTAAAAAAACTTCTTTTTTTTAATATATAATTGGAAGCACATTTAGAGCATCTCCAATAACAAATACTAAAACTAAATGAAAGAGCTAAACGGTTAATATATTAATTTTTAAATAGGAAAGATAAAGTTTTTTTTTAAGGTGCGCACTCTAATGAAAAAAATGCTATTCTAACGATCCATTTATATTTTCATGGACCATGAAACCTTGACCGTTTTAAAAGAATTAACGTATGGTTGAAAAGAGGGAATGGAAAGGAGGCAACAGGTTAATCCTGGACCTTAAAAACTTTGAATAAAATAAAATAGCAATTTTCTTTCATCTTCTACCTTCAGCTCACGCCACACGACTTTCAGCTCAGCTCAAAACCACCTATGGCAGCCAACAAACTTTCCCGGCAGCCAAGCTCTTTGTTTTTTTTATTGGAGAATATAATATTTTTTTACTATGAGATAATATATTTTTTAAAAAATATATTTCTTTAAAATTATTATTTACAATATATATAATTTAAATCCATGTAAATTCATATTTTTAGATATTAAGATTTTAAATATTTTTATAATTTTTTCAATTTGATTTAAGTTAATTTTTGTAACTTGAAATTTAATCTTCTAACCGAGTTAACTCTAGATGAATTTTAATAAGTATGGTAGCATGGTGAGCTTACGGCTTTCACCTGGAGCCGGCCTGTACGAGCTTAGGCTCAACATGCCATTTTACAAATAATATCCCGTAGATTTGTGAGGGCTGTGCTTTTTATATTGTTAGGAACAAGTTATGATAAAATAAATCGAAAGGGGTGGAAAGGTTTTCTTAATGCTAAAAATTAACTAATATTGTAAAAGATACGAGAAAAATATTGGGTGGAAAGGTTTTCTTCATCTCATATTTTTTTAATTTTTTTTGTTGTTTTTTTTCCTTTTTCCCCACATTTTTTTTTTATATTTTGGGTTTTACATGTTTTCTTTCTTTTTTTTTTTGTAAGATTGTCTTTCTTTATGTATTTTTAAAAAATATTTAATATTAAACTGGTTAAAAATTTAGTTTTATAGTTTTTTATTTAAAATATTATGAATTACTATAATATTTTTCTATATAATTTTTTTATGAATTATTTTTTTAAAATAACTTTTGTTAATTTTATATTTTTATATCGAACTGGTTAAGAATTTTATTTTGTAATTTTTTCTTTAAAATATTATAAATTTTTATAATATTTTTTTATGTAGTTTTTATTTTATTAAAATATTTCCATACATATTTTTTTAATATTTAGCTAGGATTTAGGATGCTCAGTATCTTGAATTACCGGCCGGCTTTCTGTTTGAAACAATGGAATCTTAGCTGGGAGAAGAAGACGGGACAAAGCCTTCCAAGATAAGTTATCAGGCCCATTTTAGATATGACCAACAAGAGCAAAGCGTGGCTTCTCGACCTGGGACACTAGGGCCCAAAACTCATCATCCTAATGGCTATAAATCTGCTTCTTCATCTGAGTGAAAAGAGGCTGTGACCAGAGAATAGCCCAAGACGGCCATGGCACGTACGAATAATGAAGCAATGAAAGCCAATAATATGCAATCATAGCTTCGCTGGAAAAGAAAATGTTTTTTTTTTTTTAAAGAAAAATCATAAAACTTAAATTTGAAATTTGGAAACATTAACGTCAGTGAGCTGTAAAATATTTCAATTTTTATTACAATTTACATCTAATTCTTTAAACACACGCCCGCCCACAATAATCATCCCGTAAAAATCAAACGTAAAACACAAAGCGATTTGACATTAATTACCGATATATATATATAAAAGATGTCAAATAAATCACACCAATTACTCTATCTAATTTGACCAAACAAAAGAAATCAATCTGCTTGATTGCTTGCTTATTCTGAATCCAACATACATATACGAGCTTGCATGGCTTAAAATTCCATTAATATTCAAGCAAGCTATCTTTGGAGGCAAACCTGCAACCCAGCAGTCATGAATAGCATACGGTTTTTAAAGCTCAAGTGAGCCACAAAAAACCGCCCCTTCTTTCTTATTTCTGGTCTCTTCTTACTCCTGGCCAATATTGCTGGTGTTACAGTACTCTTCTCCACCTCATCACTTTCTGACTCGTCTTCCTTAATGGTTGCCAGCTTACTCTTGAGTATTTCTTCTATGTCTCTCATCGATTCCGTTCGCAAGATTCTCTTGATTGTGCAGTCCGGCACCACCCGCCACATTTTGCGATATGCTCTCCTCATTTTCTTGCTTTAAAAATTATGACTCTACTGATATCCTTGAATATCTATGAATGTATCCACATATGAATGCTTCTGGTCTCAATTGTATTATATATGTGTGGGGCCGGATACATTTCTGCATTCACAAGTATGTGACCATGGGCCACCTTTGCTGCTTCCAAGCTATCATTTGGGGGGACTGGAGCTGCAGTTTCGGTTGTAAAGGTGTATATGTTCCTTCCTTTACAGTGGTGGTTCAATTATACTTTTAGCTTAACAACTCTTGCCACCACCACCTCCAAGTTTATTCAATTGCTCATTAACTAAGTTCACTTGCTTTTCCTTTATGGAGCATTTGTCGATCCATTTCATCACAGCATAATGTAGTTTGATAGCAGCAAGACTTTACATCCTGATTTTATTTTAAATTAAAAAAACAATATTGACAATTTGTGTTTGCGTTAGCGGAAATGAGGGGGAAAAAATACCAAACTGCTTGTCCTGACATATAGTGAATTGTCACAATCCTCAAATCCAAAGATGGAAAGATGGTAAAGTCAACCATCAAAATTAATTATGAACAAATAAAAATTGCCACATGACATGATGAAAACCACATTTACCTTGAATGAAAATATGTAGACGCGTTGGAAAGAAAGAGCTGGATGATTCCGATGAGAACCAGGCTGGAAAAGCTGCTGCAGAAGGCAGAAGCAAGGAAACAGCAGCAAAGTCAGTAGGTTGGAAGAACAGTCCTTGCGGGAAATAGCTGCTATAGGTCGGCCGAGAAGGCTATGTCCTTGCGGAAACTGGAGAGGAAGTGTTCTACAAGGGAAAGGAGAAAGAAAGTCCAGAAAATAGAAGAGAAAGAAGCGGCAGAAACAGGGTTGAGGGCAGCAACTCAACCTGGCAGAATTAGGTCTCTTCTAGCCGACCTACTGCAGATTGGAATCCCCTTTCCCATAATGATTGTTCTTCTGACTCTGCCGCTGCAAATTCTGCCGCCGTCAATCTTTACCTTCCCTCCCCTTTGATGATTGTCTTTTCAATGATATCTTTTTATGATGAAGCTTGTGGAAGTACTTCCAGCATTTAATTTTTTGTTTAAATATAGTTATGGATACATTTATCTGTAATTTAAATTTTTTTATATATTAAATAAAAAAAATTTAGCTAATCTGACTAAAATAATTTTTTGATTCTAAAAATTTTATTTCTTTTTCAAAATTAGATTCACCAAAAATATAAATATTTTTTATGTGATGACTTAAGAAACCTACTATTTCCATACACTTTTATATCCGTTAAATATATGAATTGAGTAAAAATGAAAAGAAATAAGATAAGAATTTATAGATGAGAAATTGAAAATGCAATCATACCACCTATATGTAAGTCAGTTAGACTCTCACTCTTTCTCACTCTCTTTTTATTTATTTTTGAAAAAACATGTGTATATATAGGTAATTGTGATTGTGGCTTACATCCAAGAATGACTTAAACACCTTCTATAGGTCTGCGATAGGCTTCCCATCCATTTTTCTTAAAAACTGTCAAACATGGTCTTTTATAGTTTGATTTCCAAGACTATGTCAAATAGTTTTTTTTTATGAAAATAGGATCATAAGTCATGAAATGCACAATGCACATCTCTACTATGATGTGTCCCAAAAGTCAATAAAAAATTATCTAAAAACTCTTTATGTTTTGAAATAAATCTTCACTTTTAACATTTTTCACAAGTTTTGTAGAATACATATGTGTCTTTGAACATAGTGAGCCAGTCAAATCCACTTTGTAAGATTTTTACAATTGTTTTTCTTGATGAGAAATGACTTCAACATGCCCTAGAATGACAAAATTTAATGGCATTACTTACCTCATTATCGGGTATGCATCTTTGAAATATTTGATCAAGATAATATTTGAATATGTAAAGGTCATCCTAATAAAAGTTCTTTACGTCGTTCAAAAACTTTTCTTTATCTTCAATACTCTAGTGAGCTAGCAAAAATCTTTAAGAAAAAAATTGATATTTTTAGCAAACCAAGGCATTGAATTAAAAGAAAGTAAGAATTCGTTAAGAAAGTAAGGATTCGTTAAGTGATGTTGGATGTTGAATCTATTGTTAATCTTGACAAAAGATTCGTATCAACATTTTCAATGCCTTTTTTATTCATAATTTCTTTCTTAGAATAAATAATTTGCAAATCTTTAGATTCATCAAACTCAATTTTACTCAAAGTAAATTCAAGTTGATCATAAACTAATTCTTCAATATGATTTACTTCTTGTAAATCATTGTCATCTCTAGGTTGCTTGCAAATGTTAAAAATATTCATCTCCAATGTCATGTTTTCAAATGATAGATGATAGCTTTATCAGTCTATTTCTATAATTAATCAATGCATTAGAAGTTGTGGGAAATAGACATCATAAAATAATAGGAAATGAATACATGCTTTAATAAGTTGTATGTCCAAGATAATTAAATTTATCAACTTATACTAATACATCTTCAACCATTTCTTTATGGACTTTTACAAATCTATTAGCAAGAGAGTTACAAAAGTTGGTTTTAACTCACCTAGATTGAGACTTTACAAAAGTAAATTCACACTAGCTCCAAGATCAAATAAAGTTTTTTTAATTTTATGTTCTTCAATAAAGTAAAAAATTATAGGATAACAAGTGTCTTTATATTTCAAAGCATTCTTGTTTTGAAGAATGACATTTACTTATTAATTAAAAAGGCTTTCTTCTTCACATGCAATTTTCTTTTCACAATGCACAAATCTTTTAAAAATTTAGTATAAAAAGGTACCTATTTAATAGTATCCAACAAAGATATATTGATCCTTACATGTTTGAAAGTTTTAAAGATTTAAGAGTTATGATTGAATTTTCTTTGTTTGGTTATGATATGAGGAAATAAAAGTGATGGTGAGAAATTAGTATTTTCTTTGTAATGTTCAAATTTAATCCCTTTCTTACTCTTAGATATTAACTCACCATCTTTCTCATAAGGTTTAAGAATGGGTTTTTAAATAACCTTATCACTGTAGAGAGTAATGACTGATTTGACTTGATCCATGTATTAATTTCCAGAAATACTTAAATTTGTATTATATTGCCCCTTGGAATTTTATTGTGATTAAGATGAAAACTTACCTTTCTTTTAAAAATTAAGAGTATATATAAATTTTATAGGAACATCTTTTAGATTTGCCATGGTTTGAGCATTTTGAGTGTTGATTATTTTTTGCTTTTCCATGAATGCATGCAATGTTTCCTCAAAATTTCTCTTAGGAGAGGGAACATAAGGAGGTGTATAACATTGAAAATTTTAAAAATTATAGTGTGTTTGAAATAGTGACTGTGAAGTTTGTGCATTATTATTACCACTTTTCCAACTAAAATATAAGTGATTTTTTCAACCAGGGTTGTATGTTTGCGAGTATGAGTTATGATTAAGCCTTTGAAAATTGCTTAAAGCATGAGCTTGTTGATAGAGGTATTCCTTGAAAGGAGGCAAAGTTGGAAAATCATTGGTTGAGTGTTTATTGGTTTTATAGGCTTGACACACAATGTCTTGAACATATTTTAATTGACCATTTTTTTTCCAATTATAGTACCTCAACTTTTCTAGCTAAAGATGTAAACTTTACTTAAAGGTCATAATCTTTTCTCAAGTTGTACATTCCTCCACTAGATATATAAAATTGAGTTTTATCTAGTGCCTCATAAGTGTCTGTAATGTTCTAATTTTAAATATTTTCAACTAGCAAGTCTAGGGTACTCCATTGTTTCATCAGGGTCTTTATCTTCAAAAGTTTCATTGCATATCAATTTAACTATTTGTTTATCTCTAGGTATTAACCCTTCATAAAAATATGAAACAAATTTTCATGTTTCAAAACCATGATGAGGGCAAGTATTAAGAAAATTTTGATACCTATCCCAACATTGGTAAAATATTTCTTCTAATTTTTGAGTGAAAATGGTGATTTGTCTTTTGAAAGAGTTTATTCTGTGAGATGGAAAAAACTTCTTTAAAAATTATTGTTGCATTTCATCCTAAACACGAATGGATCTTGGTCTCAAATTTTATAGCCATGTTTTAGCTTTATTTTTTAATGAAAAATAAAAAAAAATTAATCTTATTATGTTCATGCTACAATTTAAGTTATTATAAGTGTTACAGACCTCCTTAAATTCTCTTAAATGCAAGTATGAAATTTCTAAATCTAAGCCATGAAAAGAAGATAAAAGTTGAATAATGTCTGACTTAAAATTAGAATGAGATGTATTAGAAAGGAAAACTATCAATGAGGGTGCACTTGTTCTTGTAGAGTTCATGTGGTTTCTAAGTGTTTTAACTCGATTATTTTCATTATGAAGTGACTGGTTATCTTTTTCGATCATATTTTCTGAAAATAATAAGGATACTCTACAAAGTCCACCACTTCATGTATATGATCAAACTCTCATACACATGTAGGAAGAGAATAAAATGGAAAAAAAGATAAAAAAAAAAAAGAAAAGGAAAAGGAAATAAAAGAAAAGAAATAAAAGTTAGATAAAAGAAAAGTAAAAAGTAAAAATAAAATAAATATTATAATTCATAAAAGAATTTACCTCCTCAGTAATGGTGCTAGAAACGTGACACGACCAAAGGATTGATGTATTCTCCTAAGTGTAGGAGTGTCGAAGTAATAAATAACCCGACAAAATCGGAGTCAAACAACAGGAAGATTAACTATATAAATAACAACAATAACAACAACAAGTTAAAGAGAACTTTAAGATGTAAGATTAATATGAGGATTAAAAAATGATAAAAATAAATGTCAAGTTTAGATGATCCATTAATGGTATTTCAAATTCATTTTATTACTGAAATAGAAATGACACGACCAAAAGATTGATGTCTTCTCCCAAGTGTAGGAGTGTCGAAGTAATAAATAACCCGGCAAGACCGAGGTCGAACCATAAGGAGGTTAATTGTACAAATTATAAACAACAATTATAAACAACAATAATAGTAATAGTAACAACAACAACAACAACAATAATAGTAGTAGTAGTAATAATACTAATAATAATACTAGCAATAGTAGTAGTAGTAGGAGTAGTAGTAGTAGTAGTAGTAGTAATAACAATAATAAAGAAAAAGAAAAAAGAAGAAAAATTGATGAGAACTTTGAGATGGAAAGTTAAAGTAACGATTAAACAATGATAACAAACAATGTCAAAGTTAGAGGATCCACTAATAGTATGTCAAACAAGTATAGTATAAACTCTTATTATTCAATTGGAAACCACACATAAAGGAGGTTCCAATCAGATTATAGATTGTTAACATGATTACATTAATCATCTTATTCAATTAATGTTAATACTTATAAATTTCGTTAAGCATTCATGATTATAACTTATGTTAACAACAAATCAAGTTCCTTTCATAGCTGAGGTGTCGGTTATACCATACAGTATGGGTTATGAAAGTGCCAAACATTTGTTGTACCAATTGTTATACAACATAAATTAAGATTATTCATTTAACAAGCAAAGTATTAAAGAGTGAACAAGATAACAAATATAAAACATGTTAGTATTAAACATTAAAGTCCATATTAAATTTATACTATACTTATTCTTACAACATTAGTGTAACCTTTTCACCTTGATATAATTAACTTAGCTAGACATAATGAAAGAAAGAAAAATAAATAAACCAAGTAAGAACATAAATAAGATAAGAGTTAACAAAGCAAATGAAAGAAAATGAAAGGTATAAACTTGATATTAATGAAAGTAAAGCATAAGCAATACAAAAATTACAAAGAGAGAAAACAAGAGCATGATCTTGATCTGGACACCAAGATGCCTAAATGCATGACAAATGCCTCCTTTTATAGGCCAAAATTAGGAACTATTGATTTGATGACTAATTGATGAGTAGGTGGTCAACCCTTGACTTGGTGACAATCCTTATCTT